AGTATGACTGGACAGAGGTGAGCCATGTCCCTCGACCCTGTGGGTAAAGAACCACGTTCTTCTACCCACTTTGACCTGTGAATCCCTACTCTATATGGGTAAGGGACAGGCTCATAAGAAACGACTTGCTTGTAGCATGATACCGTATGCCTCCCTAGGATTGTGTAAGGGATCTCGGGGGAGGAAAACCACAGTTGGTACGATGGGCCAGGCTGGACGGATTCGTTAGGCTGAAGCTGGTATGGAACATGCGGCACAAGTATGCATATACTCAGCTGGCGTTCTCAAACATATATATATATATATATTGATAACATATGTATACAAATGGACTCCGCCTGAAGGGCAGTGACTGGTCAGAACATGTGATACATAATTATGTATTATCATAATTATCATAATTATGTATTATGTATCAATTATAATTGATACAGAAGTATGCTGTGTCCAACGGCACGGCAATTCAATTAGGCCATGCCTCATGGTGTATTTCTAATTCTTCAGTACAAGCATGTACTTGATCAAGCCTTGATAACTCAAGGAAATATAGACAGCTTACATACACAGCTGAACATGCCTGAAGGGTGATCTGCTGTTTATCACAACCTTTGACAAAACCAAAATTACTCTACGCCACACGGCGTCTATAATGAAAACAAAATGCTCCTTATGGCATACATTACCTTAGTAAATCACTTACTTGGATTCTTGAATATCCAACTCAAAGATTTACCTCATGACTGATCCACCCTTGACCATATCATGAGGGCGCTCTTCCCCCTTCGATCAGTGCTGCGGGCCGAAACCAAATTTCAAACACAATCAATTCAACTTGCCGAAACCAAATTTAAACGCAGCGATGTTTCCAGGCAAAGGTCAACGGGAAGAGAGAAAGATTAGCTTCACTTGAGCTAAGCAAGAAACCTCTGTCTAAGTCCAGGAGGGGGGAGACAAGGTCAGCTGACCTGACGTCAGTCAAAGACGTTAACTGGAAAAGAAGGAACGGCTTGCATCCTGGTGTTTCGGGGGGGGGGGGGCTCCAG